TATTTCTTGACTGCAGTCTCCATTCTGGTCAATGCTTGATCCTAGGTACAGGAATTCTTTAACTATTTCAATGTCCTCGTTGTGTAGATTGAATTTGTGTATTTCTTCTGTGGTCATTATTTTTGTTTTCTTTATATTCAGCATCAGACCTGCCTTTGCACTTTCATCTTTCACCTTTCTTATTAACTGCTGTAATTCCTGTAATTCCTGCTAATATTATGGTGTCGTCCGCATATCTCAGGTTGTTAATGTTGCTTCCTCCTATCTTCACTCCTTCTTTTTCTGCGTATTGTATTTTATTTTTATTCTTACTTGTTGTAACCCATCTCGATCCACAAGGAGAGCCGGGCTATACATAAAATGCATTATTATTATTATTATTATTATTCTAATTCTGCTTTTTCTTAAGATGCTTTCAGCAGTAGTGCTCTAGCTTTCTTTGACTATTTCAATGTTCTTGTTGCCTAGATTGAATTTGTGTCTTTTTACCCAAACTCTGCATTGCTCTCAAGAGAGAGGGCATTTTGGAAAGTCCCCCTGGAGAGAAGGCTGGGATGTAGGACACGTCCGGGAATAGGAGGACGCCCAGTGATGCTCCCCAATCCTTTGCATCCTTTGCATCCTTTGCAAAAGCAGCAGCAGCAGCAGCAGCAGAGCATCCCAAGGTTCCATCCTCTTTGATTGACAGCCTGGGTGTCTCAAAAGGGGAGGGGGGGAGGAGGAGGAGGAGGAGAGGTACCACCGCCGCCAACTCCGCCCCCTCCTCTCCTTCCCTCCAACCCACCACACCGTCCCTTCCGCGGCTCAGAGGGAGGATGAGAGCCGCTTCCGGATTGGCTGAGGCGGCTCACGCCAGCCTAGAAAGCGAGGCAAGGATGGAAGGGGGGAGAGAAAAAAAAGAGGCGGTTGACCGAGGGTAACCCCGGCGTCTCGAGCCTCCCCGCGCGACCTTTCTCCTCTATTGCCTGCGCATGCGCACTGCACTCCTCCCCCCCTTTTTTTTTCGGTAATAAACCCCTCTGGTCCAAAATGGCGGCGCTGAGCAAGTCCATCCCCCACAACTGCTACGAGATTGGGCACACCTGGCACCCCCACTGCGGCAGGGCCTTCGTGCACATCACCCAGGGGGCGCTGGCCGAGTCGCTCCGCATCTACGGGACCCTTTACCTGGTGAGAAATGGAGGAAGAGAGGGGAAATAAGAGTAAAAACCCCTCCTCCATCTTCCTCAGGCTCTCTCTCTCTCCCTCTCTCTGTTTTGGAGGGGGGAGGCTACCCTGTCATGGGGTTTTCATGGCAAGATTTCTTCAGAGGGGGTTTGCCTTTGATTCCCTCTGAGGCTGAGAGAGTGTGACTTGACCTAAGGCTACCCTGTCATGGAGATTTCATGGCAAGATTTCTTCAGGGAGGGTTTGACTTTTGACTCCCTCTGAGGTTGAGAGAGTGCGACTTGCACCAAGGCTGCCTTGTCATGGAGTTTTCATGGCAAGATTTCTTCAGAGGGGGTTTGCCTTTTTTGCTCCCTCTGAGGCTGAGAGAGTGTGATTGGACCCAAAGCCACCCTCTCATGGGTTTTCATGGGAAGAATTCTTCAGAGAAGGTTGGTTTGACTTTTGACTCCCTCTGAGGCTGAGAGAGTGTGACTGACCCAAGGCTGCCCTGTCATGGGGTTTCATGGTAAGATTTCTTAAGAGGAGGTTTGCCTTTTGACTCCCTCTGAGGCTGAGAGTGTGTGACTTAGTCAAGGTTACCCTGTCATGGGGTATTCTTGGCAAGATTTCTTCGGGGGTCTTTTTTTTTTTTGGCCTTTGCCTCCCTCTGATGCTGAGAGAGTGTGACTTTGCCAAGGCCTCCCTATCATGTAGGTTTCTTGGGAATTTTTT